AATACTAATACTAATGTTATGACCTGTTCTAGGATTTTGACCGGTTTCGGGATTGTCGCATTAGAATAATTTATTGCACCAAATTGTAATAAAACTAATTTATATGATGACGTCGAAAAAGTATGTGACAAGCTTGAAACCCGTTTTCAGAACGGGGTCAAATCCCAAAAGGAGATCTTCAGCATATGACCGACGCTTCCCGTCATTGTATGTTTATTGGTGGCAATTCATGGCTATATACGAACTACAAACCCTTGGTTGAGCGATTGATGCTTTGCCCCTGTAATGCTTTCCTAATCAAGGAAGTGGAAGTTATCATCTGCAATTATGTAAAAAGGTGCTCATTTTCCATCTTTTCTCACACAAGCTTAAAAAAAAATGTCTTTGAATTTTCTTCAAACACTCTCGACTGACATAGGCCAGCTCTTGCAAGATTCCGACGAATGTAATATTATAATAGAAGTCGGAGAGGATCCGAATATCAAAGCATTTTACGCTCATTCGATTATATTGCGGGCGAGGTCACCATATTTCCGGCGAGCATTATCGCACGAGTGGACCAAAATCGAAGACGGTCGTAGGAAATTTAGAAAACCCAATATTAAACCAGAAGTATTTGAACTCATTCTCAAGTAACCTTGGCTGTATGAAGTACAATCTGTCTGTAATACGTTTCTGTAATTCGTTACTAATTTCTCTTTTTTTTTTCTTTGTGTGCGGAATTACGCATTCACTTTTTATAGGTTTGTATATTCTGGCGATATTAACTTGGATGGACAAGACGTGTCAAGAATATTAGAACTCCTGGTTGCTACCGACGAATTGCTGTTAAGTGAGCTATCTGATCACGTTCAAGATTACATATTGCATTGTCAAAGTGAATGGCTTAAACAGAACGTTGTCAGTCTCTGGACAAAAATACATCATTATGACGCTTGTGCAAAATTGAAAAACCATTGCTTGCGATTGATATGTCGGAAACCACAATTTCTCTTTGCATCGGAGGATTTCTTGTCCATGCCAGAGTCATTACTACTGCCGTTCTTGCGAATCGATGGTCTTCGTATGGAAGAGATTGAAATTTGGGATCATGTACGTCGTTGGGGTTTAGCTCAGCATCCAGAGATTCAGGATAAGGACATGAGCAAGTGGTCCACTGACGAGTACGAGAGTTTGGAAAGGACACTTAAAAACTGCATGCCTCTCATTGATTTTGCCCACGTATCGTCAAATGACTTTTACGATAAAGTATGGCCATTCCGGGGAATGCTGCCCAAGACTCTACTGGAAGACATAGTCAGGTACGTACATCCATCCATCCATACGTCCATACATACATACATACATACATGCATGCATTCATGCGTACATCATGCATACATACACACGTACATTAATTATCGTTTGGACAATGATGAATGGCAAATATTAATAATTGGCGTTTGTTTTTTTATTCAGATATCACCTCAAGACTAACAGTCCTCCTCAGCCTGTCAAGCTTGCTTTTAGGCTGCAGTTCGATTCTGCTCTCATTCGAACATCCCACGTTGCTCTTTTGGCTAGCTGGATTGATAGGCTCGGTGACAAGAGGTATCTCTACGATGAAGTTCCATATCGGTTCCAGTTATTGTTGCGGTAAGTAGATCTGGCTGATATGAACTGTAATTTCCACTATAAAAAAAACAACGTTATTAACCTTTTCTTGCATTGACGCAGAGGGACGCGAGATGGCTTTAGCTCTTCGGTTTTCCATGAATTGTGTGACGAAAAGCCAAAGACCGTTGTAGTAATAAAGATTCGTGGAACAGACGAGATAATTGGTGGATATAGTCCGTTGATATGGAAACCGATGGATGGATACTGTAATACTGAAGACAGTTTTCTTTTCAGCTTTGGGAATCGTGGTAACGTTGAGGACGCTACATTGAGTCGCGTATCTCTGTCGCGATCTTATTATGCTATTCGATGGAATGGACTTGACTATGGTCCTTGTTTTGGAGATAAAGATTTGTGGATGCGAAACAAATTTAATGAAGAACAAAGTTGTTCATGTCGGCGTGACGACTATGTGGAATCTATTACTGATTGCACAACCTTTGCTGTTGAAGAATATGAAGTATTCAGGATTGTAAAAAAGTCGGCATCAATGTAGTTCTTTTTTTCTTCAGAGACATTCTAATAACCCTATCACTCGGTACCAGCTTATTATCATTCACACTTTATTTTTAATAATACTAATTTATTCTATATAGAGATGTCGGCCCCAAGACTTAGACTTGATCCGACTATAGACTTATTACCATTATAGATTAAACACTTTTGCTGAGATTATGCTGTTCATCGCTTTTGTTCTTGTTCTTGTCTTCATATTTTCCTGTACTCTTTGCTTTGGTTTCTTTTTCCCAATCTTTTTGCAATTGTCCGACGATTTCTGGTGATTTTGTTAATTCAATAATTGACAACGTTAGCTGCGATTTAAAAGAATTTTCCTTTATGAATCATTTTAATTACCTCGATGAGCGGGTGGATTCACCACGTGCTCTACATCTTGCCATCGGGTTTCATCATTGTTAAGTTCGTTTGGACTTGGATCAGAGACTGTATCGCGTTGTAGAAGGTCATGAGACACAACCCCTGAATGAGGTTCGCGACCTATAATTTTGAATTTGACATAATAATTAGATCAGTTTGTATTTAGACCAAAAGACGTGAAAAAGAAAGTAAATACACACCAATGGGTGAGATATTCTCGTTGCGTTTATTCATGGTTTTAACTTGCGAATAATGAATGTTCTTTGGAAAGCTTGTGCCTTTTCACTATTTTTTATATTCGAGTTTAGCTTTCGTCATGATGACTTCACCTTTCTGCAAGTTCAGTCTCAAAATGGAATGTATTATGTGAAATGATTTATTGTCGCATAGGCTTTCCCAATCGGAAAATATACTTGTTAATATTAATGGAGGCGGGAAAAAAAAGCATTTTGGCGTTTTGATCTAAAGTGAGGTTTGGATGACGATTAGTATTAGGTTAGCGTCAAAATTTACCCTATGAAAAATCGTAAATCGCGCAAATAATTTCCCATGGATTGAATAATCATCATTTTACTCAATGGTGGAAAGTCTCCCGCTACAAAAAAACGCGACGGTCAATCGATAAACATAAGAGTCAATTAATTGTTTTGGTATTTTTTTTTTGAAAGAAAATATTATTAGTGAAAAGAAGTTACACAAAAGAAGGAACAGCGCGAGTTCATAACTCATTAATATAATAAAACTATTTGTACAGATTACTCGTATATTAGTGTAAATGAAGACTGAAAAAAAAATTAAAACTCCAATTTTTAATATAACTAACTCTGCAAACCGCACTTCTTGTAGTAACTTTTTCTAATCTAATTTAACTGATACAACCATAAACTTCGTCTTCCAATAAATAATCCCGTACACCCCCAACTCTCATACGATTCTTTTCGATATAGCCTCTCCCATTAACAACACCAGCCGCAACAAGAAAATTCCGTGGACATTTAATATTACCGACGACTCCCGTCACCCAAGAGTATAATCCGAAAGCTTGGCAAAGAATGGGTTTATAAATTCAAAGAATGCAAACTGTGATGGTTGTGTACCATATTTGTAGACAAATCTGCTTGCTAGATATGATCCAAAGATAGCGCGGACATACGGTTCGGGTACTCGCTCGAGCAGAGTGTCCAGCCCTAAACGATCAAGCAAAAGCTGTGGGAACGCTTCACGCAAGACCGCCTTGCGTAACAGAACATTTTGCCAGAGTATCGATTGTTGGAGATCCTCATTGAGCTTCACAATGTTAAGACTCAGTTCGTCAGAAATAATAGATCGTGGCTTGTTAGTGCGACGGTGTTCACGCCAGATACATTCAAACTCTAATTCGGCGTTCTTTTCTATGATATGATGTACTTCTTTAACATAATCCTGATAAAACGGGGGTATGACACCTTCTTTGACTTGCATATTCTTGTCGAATTCTTCGTCGGTGAGAGACAAGGCAGCAAGCACTTCTAATGAAGATGAAGTTACACCACCCTTATTCGCCGAGGCATCTTTAAAGATAATAGCACCGGCGTCTTCCAATCTTAGGCGTGCTTCTTGCGTAAAGAACAGGTTGGCACCTTCTACGATGTACTTGAAGCGCGGTTTGCCATTATGATCGAGCAGTAGACTGACGTTATTGAGATCGACCGATTCCGGACGACCACCACATGGAACGAATAGTTCGGCCGAGACGAGACTTGATAAGTGGAAATTGTTTCTGAAAATCAAACCGTCGTCAATGACTTGTCCGTCTAGAATGGAGCGGACGAGGGGTTAGCCAGGGAAACTCGAATGTTATGTCAAGTGCATACTAAATGGATGCGGCGGAAAATACTCAATCACTTACTTGGCAGTTTGACATTCTGTTGATCAACCAATACTCTGAATCCTTTGGGTGATAATTTTGACAAATCGAATTGAGATATCATCAATCGGTTATGAGCAAGACGTCTCAACTCTGTGCGATCGATACCGTCCGGATCACACAGGACACCACTACCGTCAACAACAGCTGAAAAAAAAAAAGGCAGTTGCAAATTAGATAAGCAAAACTGTACAAACCAGTAAAGCAAATAAAATACTCGCCATCAGATTCGAAAACGTCCAACTACTTACCAACAGTTCTATCTTTTGAAATCTTAATCTCGTTACTACCCAAATCTCCATCAGGTCCACCAGTTTGGAATTTGGTAATCTTGGCTTCCTTCAAACCCAATTTCTTGTATATTCCCAATACGTATTGATGAACTGATCTGGTGGTCATTCCGTAAACATCATGAGGAATACCACCGAGTTCTTGTGATTTGCCCGTGGTGAAAGCTTTCCAGAATGGTGCTCCGCGTTTACGCGCGTGGGCGCTCGCCCAGTCAACGAGTGTTGCTGTGCCTTCATCGGGACCAAAGAAGAGGATTTCCGGCTTGTTATACAGATCGACGATTTTCTGAAAATTCGAATAACCCGAATAAGTAAAGGTTCTTTGTATGCTATATAAAGTTGTGTTTTTTTAACAAAGCAATATGAACTCACTTCTTTGATTCCAGGTGTTCTTCCAACGATCAAAAGATCCAGAATACTATCAACATATTTCTCAAACGCGACACGATCCTTGTCTTGTTGCGAAAAATCCAACAAAATCGTTCCTTTCGAACCACCCTCGGGTATGTCCTTATTCTTTCTTTGTTGCGTAGCCGCCAAAGCATAATTTTCATCAAATAAACTTCTCAAATTGATGCTGTACGTTTCCTTATTCCTAGACTTTATGATCCTAATACCACCTCTTGCTACGTCTCTGAATCGCAAATGGAATCCTCGAAATTCCGATCCAATCACAAAGAACATTCCGAATAGTTTGGTGGGATATTCGATTGCCGGAAGGAAGCTGGGATCTAGACGGAAGGAAAGTGCAACTTTTGTTGGTTGATAAAAGTTGGTTTTCTGCACGTGTTTGTTGAAAGTAAGGAATGATTCAAAGACCATGAACTCGTGAGTATTGGATGTCGTGCGTTTGATTTTGTCCAAAAGTTCATCGTCTGTCAAGACTACGTCTGTTTGGATACGTTGGTAAGAGAGAGAAGGTCTTTATAATAAAGAAGAACAGTTAGTATGCAGACTTGTGGGAGCCACTGATCTATGCACTGGCTCGATCGATATAATATCGTCATCTTTTTAATACTTACTCAAGCGCAGCAGCCCGCGGGTTAATGTAATGCGTCATTGCAAAATTGATATATAATAAATGGATCAACTCTGGATACATCTTGATAATATCCAACAGATACTCTCTAGTAAAAGTGTCTGTCCTCAGCTTCTTTTTAATCTTGGTTAGCACGCCTACATGCACCGGATTGTCCTTGTCCAAAATGCTTGCCAGACTAACATACTCATTACCCAACCTATTCAAAAAGTGCTGTGCAAAAAGCCAACACACATGACCGTAGATTGCCTCTTGAACGGAAAGTTTTCCGGTTTGGAAGAAGCTTTGCAGAGGTGTCGTGGGAAGACAATAAATCAGAGAGGCTTCTTTGATTACTTGGTGGATCGTGTGTTCGATTGGTGCAGAGTCCGAATTTGGCAAGGGATTGAGATAGAGAGACATTACTGTTACACCGTTGGAGAATTGCTCTGATCAAAGTTTAGAGATCGCGGAAACTCGAGTTAGAATATTCGACGACGGATTGGTTTGTACAAATGACAGCATGACAAATAAGTGTCTACACACCGACATATTTCCTCGTCGAATACAAATCGTAAAAGTGGTACAAGTCGCTCATTGCCGAGAAGAAGCTTTGAGTACTTCCCTGTCTATAGGCAATTACCAATCTCCTTTCTCTACTTCCTTCAACTTCAAACATTTCAATCACAGGTCCAGTCCTGTCCAATGCCAGTTTTATGATATCTCGATAGATTTCTAACGTGTTTTCGGTTACTTTTTCTAAAAATGTCTTGTCACCAACAAGGCGAATATCTGTTTCTTCTTCGGGTGTAGGGTTTGGTACAACAAAATCACACTTTGATATGAAATAGCAGCGAAGTTGAGTATTCAGTGAGGGAGAGACATTGCCGTGAGAGCGATAAGTTTCGAGACGATATGCTCGTTCTGTAGAGCTGCCGTCCAGGTATTTTGCGTCAATTCTGGAACATTAGTGAACGTCGGAAGTAAAAGAATGATAATTTAGTTTTTATACGTGTGAAAGACGTACATTGATTTGCCAACTTTATCATTCCTCGGTTGACCATGATCGTAGACCGTAAACGTACCTTCTCTCGTGTTGAGGGCCTTGAGACTGAGACACGCCAGGACGCGAAGTGTGTATATACACAGCGCCTTCCTCTGTTTCTCTTTCGAGATTAATGTCGAACTCGTTCTCATTCTTTGTGTAGGCGAATATCTTTGCACCGTAGAGGGCCATGATGTGATTTGCAATAGTTTCGACAGTTTCTGTGCCAAAGTATACATCATCGATTCCAAGATTACTGGGTTGATTTATAAATAGATATAGATGGTGAGCGAATTGAAGATTGCATAAAACGATATCGATGAATAATAGCCAAAAGATTTGGGAAAAGGATGCACGGCACAGCAAGACACGAGACGAACATCTTGCTATCATTTGCTTACACCCATCCTTTTGTTTTCATAAAATTGTGGGCAGAAAATGTCTCACCCGTAAAACCACGACACTTCGTTCTTGACCAGATCTTTCGGTATAAAGCCACGTTCTTCAATATATGCGCAAACCTTGATCATTTGTTCTTCTTTCCCATCAAAGATATTTTCAGTATATCCACTCGAGTTCTTGACCACCATATTAGTGGGCTGTAAAAACAGACTTGGGATTTGTCGAAGAGAGGACATGGTAACGTATCAGAGGGGGGGGTCAAGTTGGGGTTATTTGAGAGAGAGGGAGTTAATGAAGGAAAACTTTAACGGGAAAATGAGTGTTTGCAGAATGTTCGCATCTTGAAGTATATATGCGGATTTGACTCGTACAAAGTTTGACAATACACATGTATGGTAAAAAACAGTTGATGATAATATGTTTATTATTAGCACTGCTATACCCCCTTTTTTCTCTTAATACACATGACTTTTATTTGCCCAAAATTCTTTTTGTTGCCGGATCGAAAAAAGGGGGAGGAGGCTTAATTTCCTATTACTATTTGTACAATAACACACAGAATGCGCATATTGCCGACAATCGTTCATACAATGTATCTATTGATCTATATGCAATAATTTACATGCATATATGATATTTATTGCTACGTGTATAAAATATAAATGTTGAGTTTTAATTCTGTTTGTTGACATTTCATTTTACTAAATACGGACCTCCCGATACTAACTAATTGGAGCATCTGGTATGAATATCTGCATTGTAATCCAAGCCTTTTATTTGGACTCATCTCGTAGATGAGGCTGATGAACGTGTTACTGATTACTACGGTGCAAATACTGTATCATGTAAAAAGATTATCACATCATCTATTCGACGCTCTCTTTGTCCGCTAATGCATATATTAATATCAGTTTGGGAGGTGGGGGAGACGATGCGATGTGGACAATAGACATTTACAAATTGCATAATATGCCGTGCGAATGTGCAAAATAGGCATTGTGCAGCCAAAGTTGGGGGACTTTCCTCGTTCGGATAAATTCCTTCCCACGGCAACGCATCAAACATAGACAATAAACGTACTGACAATATTGGTTTAGTTGGGAATCTGCGCATACATAAAAACTATGATATATTAAAAACATAACGAATATAGTCTGTCCATTGTATTGCCCATTCAGAATCTACTGTCCTTTCGCAAAAATATCGATTGCACCCGCTCAAACGTTCGTACATACCAGATTCGTTAACCATTCAGGCCAAGTCGATGTAAGGGAATTTAATCTGAACTATGCATACTTTCATCAATGAGAGAAAAAACGGTTGTCGTAGTTAACCTGGCAAGGAAATCTTGTATTCACAAACACACCATGCGATGTCTCTAAGAAAGCATTCACAGCCATGCGATGGTCTCTACGGTATTCGACATAGTTCCACATTTTTCTTGGCATTGTTATAGGATGCTCGCACTGTTCGTTTATTTTTATGTCATTTGCACATGATGCTGAGTCGAAGATCCGGGTCAACGCTTATAATCTAGACAGAATAAGCGACGGAATAAGCCACGTTAGTAACTACATATGAGTTGTTCAAATGACCTCAAATGTGCGATTACCCCCCAGTTTCCATCGCTCTCATCACGTACCACTCTCTCTAGAATAGTCGCACAACTGGCTTTATTTAACCGGCACCTAAATACTTCACGCGACAATCATTCGGCACCTACATACAGATCGACAAGAGAGCCAAGTGAGATCGTCGGATGTGTGTGGAGATAATACCCTAGTTAGAAAGCGGAGAAGTGAAAGCAAATGTGTAACTAGCTATGACTGTCAAATAAGGCATCCTGTTACTCACCCAATATTTATAATTAAGCCGTATCAGCCTCGCAATCACGGGGTTCTAATAAGAGTCTTCCTGTTTATGGAGAGTAGTTTTTTTTAATAGTCAATCAAGATCATTCGTGTTAACATGTGATGTGTCAAAGAGTATTATTCGACGATGACATAATCTACTATAAGATCACATAATGGTTTAGTCCAAACCCTGGCAGTCAACTAGTGGATTGACAGACCGATTAAAAACGTCAATTAAACATTCTCACATTAATGTAAACGATCTGCCGACAACGAATTCAGAATCCAGAGCTTGTCTCTGCAAACTAAGAAAGATCATTGGTTTAACCTTGTTATTAAGCAGAAATAGATTCCGTATGATCCGTCGAATAAAACTTGGTTTATCGTATTTTCACTTTCAAAAAATTGCAAATAGAAAATTTAAATTTTGAAAAAATAGCAATGTGCGAAAATTAGGTAAGGTAAATATATTCATGAAAGACTTGCTTGCACAAGTGTGAATTTGTTGCTGACCTTTTATTTTTGTTAGCGTCCAGGCGTAGATATAAATTGCGCTTTTTCCTATTAATATCAAACTTTACCGACGTTTGTTTTCCTTCATATCAATAAGACTGGTAAGTTTGTGACATGCATGCTGAGATCCGACAGTCACTCCTCTAGATGCGCATACAGCCAAGGGAATCGTTATTTTCAATGATAAGAATTATTTTACAATAATGTATGCACTCTGCAAAAAACGGCCCAATGAGTAATCTTCTAGCTTTGGTGTTTGAAAATCGATCACTACAAATTTTATTTCATATTAAAAATATCCTATTTAGTAGTATGATTTGTTGGATAAACCCATGATTACAAGTTTATTTGAGTCGCCAAATCATAAACAATGGACGATGTTAATATATTGTAAATTGACTTATTTAATATCAACACGTGGTTAATTACAATTGCTGTCATCCCACCTTCCGCCTCGAATGTTTAAACTTGACTCACGTGAATTCGCTGATCGAGAAAGAAACAAATAAGTGGAGCACTATTATGCAAAAACGATGTTTACCCGCCTATGAAGATTGCAATGCCCAAATCATAATACGCAATATTCGGATCGAAGCGAGTGGGTGGGGGGGGGGGGGGAGAAAGGACTAGTGTTGGATGCAGTGCATGCTTAATAGTAATGATAATTATTAAATAATGACAAAGTAATGAAGTATGGTCAATATGCTGTAATTTATAATTTGAACTAATATAATCCTAACGCTTTTGAAGCTTCAAATGCTCTAATTATAATTTCTTCTTCCACGTCATGTTGTTAATATCCTGTCCAAATAAGTACCATCGTTGCATGTTGCATAAAAATAATTGCACTGGGCATAATAGAACTATTAAGTAAATACAGAGTCGGATTAAATGTCATGTTGTTTGGTACATAAAAAAAACATTGCTTACCTCAGAAATAAATAATTTCAGCGTCTTATCGAAATTCTTGAAACGTTTGAGACAACAGTTTCTGGAATATCACATACTAAGTATTCTTATACTGCAGTATAAACTGTTTTGTAACTACCAAATCCACCCGCTTTGGGTTTATCAAGTCACTGTACTGCATGTAACTTATGTGGTCGCAATAATAGTCTATACTTTTGTCCAATACACCATGTATTTCATGGTGTAAGACTAAATAATATTCCCGAGCAGATAGTTATTCCAAGTTGTCAACATATTCTCAGGTTAAATATCTTTTAATATTCCTTAATTAGCTATTTGAGTAAATTATGCAATCATTAGTTTAACACACAATGATATACTTGGTAATATTTTATAATTCACCTGATGAAATTCAAATAACTGCCCATAAACTATCTTTTTGAATGTCACTTTTGTCTATTCATATGCCATTGATTTCGCAATCAAGCCAGCCGTTTATGCTCGTACTTGAATTCCGTGTCAATATGTGCGCACACATGGCAACAGTTACGCTTAACAAACATATGAACTTTATGAGCATTGGATTCTTTGGTTGTCGTGTTATTATACGCCAACTTGGTAAATTGATAAATATATTAATGCGCTGCTTTTATCTTTATAAAAATACATTTGGCTAAATATTTGTTTGTCTTTCATAAGTTTATTTTTCTAACTTTCTATTGGTAGTAGTAGTTAATTATCAAAATCGGGAGTAAAGATAAAACAGTCAATATTAAAAGCAGTTGCAATCTTCACGTAATGTTTTCAAACGGGTACGGATTTTTTTATGCTCGTAAACGCGTCTTCACACGTTTGTTTTCTGTCCGATTTGGGAGATGTAAAAATAGAAATAAACATGATAATCAGGAGTACGTTTGAGAATTGTTTACAATCCTGACTCTTAACATTAGATATTAACATTAACGCAATTTTTGTTTAATATTATTTTATTTCGTCCACCGGCATTATCACAGGTAACCTTTAAATATTTTTCACTTTTATTCAATTCTTAGTCCATCGAATACCAGGCTCAGCGTGCCGTTAGTACCTTTTTCTCTATAATTTTGCCTTAATTAAAACGGAAATAATTTGTTTACGTCTTGAATATCAAATAAATGCGCTTTACTGAACTGAGATAATTTACCTGTTGATCGGAACGGGGTACATGCCTAATCGTAACCTAATGAGGCAGTAGCGTCAACATTACAATAATAAGCTTGTTACAACGTAATTATCATCAAGATTTTCCAAAAATCTTTTCTAACAACGTCTCTGGGACTAGCAACCTCTTTGCTATTACTATGCGTCTCTGAAATTGAGGATAATAGTTTTGGCCTTCTCCTGGAGCTATTCATATCTCATGTAGATAGAAATTTTGGGAGTAACTCACAGTAGCAACCCTTCATCATATTGATGCCCTAATGCTAATCTTTGATAATGATATGGATATGTAATGGCGACACATTTGATTAAAAAAAGCGTATTTGAATTAGTTGATTAAAAGAAGTTAATCGGTCATGACTGTTCTGCGGTGGTTTGGTTCTTTATTGATTGCACCTACGAGTGAACACTAAAGGTGCACTCATGACTGTTCTGTGGCACGTTGAAGCTACTAATAGCAACATAAGCTTGGCCTGATGTGTGGTCATTCAATGACATAGTAGTGTGAGATCTTATGGCGAGCACGCAATACTTTCCGCATTTGGTCAAAAGTTAGTGTGATAGAAAGGAGCGATTTGATCAGGTAGGTGATCATAGCACTGAGATAGAATAGATCGACTTGATTTATTTTCTTATATTTTATTGGATTTTAATAGCTGCGGTAGTTAGAAACGGTATTTGAATTTTGATGTGAAGGGAAAGAACGGTTTGACGAACTAATAAGCAACCAAAAATGAATGTAAATAAAGTTAGTATTATACACACATAAAAAAATAATAATAAAAGCGAAGGCATGTACTTTAAAGAGCTACAGTTTGTGTAACGACTTATTGACCTAACGTTCACGATGCATAGTCATGTATACGCTTATCCCTAGACTATTATTTAAGTTTGAATATTACGTCTATTTTTTCTCGATAAAATTTGCCTATAGGTCGGAGAAGTAAACGCCTTCATACAATTAATAAATAATCCTGATTCAAAAGAATAATTTAGGAAATGTTTTAAGGACAATGGACCAAATTGAGATGTTCTCTGAGAAACTACGACTGCTATCGACGAATTTTTAACGTTGGTAGCTTCGATAAATCGAGAATATTAATATTAATTATAATGTAGCCGGAACTACCGATCGTCATTACTTGGAAATCCGAGGTACTTCTCGTCATTAGATGAATTTGTTAACTTGAAAAAAAATTTTTTAAACTATGACTGTTAATAGTCCAGCAATTGACAACTTGGTTGAATCCTCCTTGGAAGGCTTAGGATTGGGATGGATTCCTTACTCGACAATCAGCGACATAGAGCCAACTCAAATTGACAATGTTCATTACGCTATTTACAAGGAAACACCCAATAGTGGTAAACTTTATGAAAACGACGATAATATTGTTATCACTTGTGAGTGAGTTTGCTAGGATATACTCACTACCAACACACAAGTACAATAATAATAACAATAACTTTAGGCGATATCCCGAATGGCTTAATGCACACAACAGACTCATAAAGGAATTTACCGAATACAATAATAATTATTACCTGGTTGCTGATAGAAAGTTTTACGACTGTTACTCTCGATATGAATTCTGCTCCACTAAGCATCCGATCGATCTGAAATTTTACACATAATCAGGGTTTGTTATACACTATATGCAGGAAAATTCACAAATTTCTGTCCTGAATTACAACCGGTAGGATGCTTTTGCACGTTACTGTATATTATGTATCTCGCAATAATTTTAGACCTGTTTATTAATAATAAATACAGTAGCTCCTAACATATTATCTAGTCAGTTTCATAAACTTTATATAGTACGCCAGACTTGTCTCTACGCGCCCTTTGATTGTGTGATCGAATTAGAAAATATTGTTGTTGTTATTATTATTATCTTGGTAGTAAACGCGCATGCATGCTATTAGTCGGTATCATCATGTCACAAAATTATTTGTATCTGTAGCAGTGAGTCACATAATAATAATTTAACTGACTTTGATGGTGCAGAAGAACGAGTAAAAAAGAAAAATTCACAAAATTTGGACCGAAAAGTGCTGAGATATAATTTTTTGAATTTTTATGACCGAAGTCATAATACACGTATATCCAAGGTAAAGCATTTAATTTTTGCTCGAACTAAAATCTCACAGGTGATCAGAGTTTATGGTGCCCTATATACAGAGAAATTTTTCAAAGCGTTTACTCATTCTTGTCCCGAATTAGAAGCGGTAGGATACTTATAAATCAACCTAGTTATGCAATAGCAACAGCGTTATTACATTATCTTGATTTGCATATAAACAGTGATTGTATCTTGCGATTTCGAATATCATGTACTCGGTTAACATCCGATCAAAGCATAAAATGAAAAAAAAATTTTGAGTTTTCGGTAAATAATGTAGATGCCTTGTTATAATATTTCGAGTCAGTTATCGCAGTATTATGTTAATAATATACAGGATATATGTACTCATTAAAAGAAAATACGGAGAGTTCCAATCAACAGATCAAAGATTTTATCCTAGTTCTTAATATTAACTGTAATTTTTTGATTAGCATTAGTAAATTGGCGGAACCGTCTTTAAACAGAGTCGTTTTCTTTTAACCTGAGTTTTACGCATTAACCCTGAGACGAGTTGACTCCAAAATTCGTGTACCATCGACAAACCGGTCAGCTGCCAAACAAACAACTTTGTGGTACGAGCAGATGATCTGTTAGGAAAATCATATACCACTTATTATACCAAATTTGGTAAGCTCATAACAATTGCATTCTCATGGTTGCTTTCTTTCTTGCTGTCCCATATGCATATAATTTTTATAATTGACGCTTATTCGCGTTTATTCGCGTTTCTATCATCACATGTCTGCAACACCTCGCAGTGCAGATTTTATTTTATTCGGTCATTCCTCGATTATGTAACTGTTCCCGCTCATAATGAGTTCGTCTCGAGTATGTTTGCATACACCAGCCTGCCTAAAATAGATTCGGATCGCATAAAATTATCGTTATCGTTCGGTATAATTGGAGCATCATCAATTCCGCAGTTTACAAAGAGATAGTCACATGGCCAAACCCTCATAATGTTATCTCTGAGGTGAGAGCGTAGACCTCAAGTTGAATGGCTTTCTGGGCGGGTTCAAACGTAGAACCAGCTTATTCTTGGCCGGAACCTGCAGCAAAAACTGAATTAAACGACGCGCCTGAAGAAAATGTTAGTCCAACACGTATGAAGTTGAACTCGGCCTTGAATGCATTGACTGCTTCGCCGGACTATAGTCGTGTTGCGTTTGCTGCTCGTGAAGGTATTGTTTTCTAAATATCATTAAGCAATTCAGGATTTTGTTTGATATTAAACATGGATTCTAAATTTGAAGGGTTGAGAATATTAAACGTCAACGAAGATGATAGCATGGAAGAGATTGTTTTTAGAGTTAGACCTCTGCATAAATTTGGATTGAATGATGTAAAATGGGGTAATGCTGGTAAGCTCAACAAACGTTAATTATAGAAAGGGAGACATGGCTTACTTGGGTATATTGCGTTGAACACGAACCGGAGACAAATGCCTTGTTGCTCTAATTACTGACTCATAACGATGCACCAGCCACTCGACAGAAAGTAGCAGGCGCAGGCAATACCGTAAACACTGGCATCGTAATATGGGATCTTGGCGGATCAAAACCAAAGGTTGGTGAGTATTCATTGTGGACGAGTCGCTATCCGTCCGATCGAATTCTTGCACTCTATATTCCCATCCTGCCATAACGGCTACTGATGTAAATTCTCCCCCGAACTAGAGAGAATCATCACGGAACACACTCAAGTAGTCAATAGAATATGTTTTAATCCTACAAATGGTCACTACCTTCTTAGTGCCTCACATTCATCAACTATGAAGTTATGGGATTTAAGAGTACATGATCAAGCCTGCATGACATTCGAAGGTAGATCGGACGCTGTACGTGACGTGCAATTCAATAAATTAAATTTCAACCAATTTGCTGCTGCCTTCGATACTGGGATAATTCAAGTGAGTATTTGTCCCATTAAGATACTTGGCTAAATTAGACTCGAATTTTAATTATATGTTTGTCAATAATTTGTTAAGAAATGGGATATGAGAAGGCCAAACATGTTTGAAAGAAGAATCAACGCTCATATCGGTGCAGCTTTAGCAGTCGACTGGCATCCGGATGGGAATCATATAGCCAGTTGCGGACGCGACAAGAAAATTAAAGTAAGTCTTTTAACTTCCTATTCAGGTATTGCAATTACAATCTCGGCTTCAAAAAATGTAATCTTAATGCTTTTGTACATTTTAGATATGGAGCGACAAACTTGTGCATTCATTCTCGACCATTCAAGGCGTCTCCCGCATTCAGTGGAGGCCGGATCATCCCGACGAAATTGCTTCCTGCGCGATGAGCTCGGATTGTAGGATATTTATCTGGGATGTGAGAAAGCCATATGTTGCGAGTTGCTTTTTTGAGGAACACGAAGAGACACCGACTGGTAATGTGATTGGAATGAATACTTGCCTATTCGAACGTGATTGATTCATAAAATACGGGTTTACATTGTTTCAGGTTTCTTATGGAAAGACGCGGACATCTTATGGTCTTGTTCGAAAGACAAACTTTTTATTCAACAAAATATCAGTGTGGCATACCGCACTTCAAAGTTAATGAACAAAAGTGCTGTTGGATGGAACGTATACGGCGGAATGGCCTTTGCGCTAGTTAAGACTGCTACCGAGTGAGTAGACTAACCCATATTTAGTTGGCAGCATGTTAGAGCGTATCAAAAGATTTATTAATTCATTTAAACATATAAGAAACAAGCCTAACATGGCACATGGTGGGCTATCACGGCGTGTATCAAAGCCTCACTTGTCTGGTTTCGGTGAAGTAAGCAATGAGACGCTATTAACGTCATTCGGCTTGTTTTAAAATTAGGCGTCGCTTCTTATGTAGCTAACATGTATTGTAAATTTACGTTAAATTCCAATCAGCGCGACAAGTTTCATCAAAAAGCTGGAATGTTTAATTCAGCATTTGACCACAAGGCATTCAGATATCTTACCGATAACTATGAGCTTGAAGCGGACAATATTGCTGCTGCTTGCGAAAAGAACGCAAAGGTACAGTGTATAAATTGACAGATTTTTGTAAAACGTACTAGCTGCTCGTCGTCTTACCCAAGATTTCACTTTTAGGCTGCATTAGATGTACAAAAATATAGGACATCACAAACATGGAAAATGGTAGGGCTTCTATTTGGACGGACAACGTCAACAAGAATTGAAGAGAATGAGATTCGAGACAATACCGAAATACCCCGGTCATCTGACTACTTTACTGCAAAAGAGACGCATGAGGAAGGAAAAGATGAAGTTATAGGAGAGCAAATACAGCCTCCCTCGCCTGACGCAACTACCGCGCAAATCGATACAAAGGAGGATGAGAATTTAAACGGCGGCGTTGCATTCGACACTGAAACTGACAAGACAATCGATCTCTCAGTACGACACTTTTCTCTTACTGAATATCTTGATTAGTGAATTAGATGCATTGTTAATTGCTTTTGCTCACCCATTCGCCCAGCACGACGACTCCGCGTCAGATTCAGATGACGACTATCAAATTGAAAAAGAAATTATTCCAGATGTGAATCCTCCACCACCTCCAGTGAGCAAGGTCAAAATGACTGCTGTTATAAGGGCTTGGGATCATGAGCCTGTGATACAAAGCGTCCTGGATTATTACGCAGAGCAGGTAAGAAAAGTTTGCGAGTAGTTACTCACGCAGCGTCTGAGAAGAACACGAGGGTTAATAGTTGCAGAGAGTAGTTACAAGGATATGCAAAAGTTCTGATTCGAATATTGTGTAGGCGGATGTTCAGATGTGTGTTGCATTGGTGCTCGTGCTTGGCGACCGGATAAACGTCAGTCGGGAACGCAAAGAACCATGGTTTTGTGCGTATATTGGTATGTATAAAGGCATCGTTAAGCGCCAATTTGTATTGTTATTTGATAAACTTACACGTTCTCTTTGAAAAGAACTACTTCAGCGGTTTCAGCTTTGGACAGCGGCTGCGACTGTCATTTCATTATGTGATATCCCGTCTATAAGACAAATGAACCAGGTTTGGAGATGAGCATTATTACGTCCAAGGAAATGTTCCTGTTGACTTATTTTCTTTTCTTTCGGTCATCACTTATCAGGAGTCTACTACAATATACACGAATTGTAATAGTTGCGGAAAAGCCTTGACCTCAAAGAACGGGTTCTGGTCTTGTCAAAGATGCCGCAAACTATTGAGTTCTTGTTCTATATGGTTTGTCTCTCCCTAGACAGCTTCTTAAATGTACTTGGTTGCCTGTTAACTTACGCATATCCTTTTTACCGTTTGTAGTCATACTACTGTTAAAGGCCTCTACGCATGGTGTCAAGGTTGCAGTCACGGTGGACATCTTCAATGCTTGAAAGGCTGGTTTAAGGACAGGCCTGAATGCCCAACTGGGTGCGGACATAGATGCGGTCCAAAAGTAACACGTACATGAGATCAACGTGATATTTTTGATTGAGAACGCTTAACGGCAATTGTTTGAACTTAATTGGGGATGTGACTATTTACATCCGGATTGGAGGATGTCGTATAATCACCTCTTCCTGCGTTTGATGATGGTGTTGAATAACTACCTAATATATTTTAATTTATGTATAATAATTTCGGTGTCTTTGCTTTTGGCCAACGTTTTCTTGTAAATTTTAATAAAATACTTTTGGCCGCGAAATATCGAAATTTCTTGTAAACGGTTCTTGTTTGTAATGAATTTTGATTATCTAATGTAACAAGCCTCAGCTTGTTAGCAGTCGGCGCCAATTTTCAAAAGCACGATGATTTATTATTATTATCGGCACCGAAACAGTTAGTTTATTGAGTTGACAGCAATCAAAGATTGAGAAGATTGATCGAGGCATCTTGAACAAAAATATTGTAAATACGCCTGGTCAAGCGCCCAACTATAACTTTTGTTTACACGTTATACAATCATACACAACCAGCATGCTTTAATTCTCGATGTAAAAAAAGTGGTTGGGACCCAACAAATTTCTTATACCGAAAATTCTTATAACGAGCATCGTTAGTTATAAACCACGTGTCTTGCAACGAGAGCTACGTTAAATATGTGCTTGCCTGACAAAATTATATGCCAATCACACGTAGAGAGGAATCGCTCATAGCAATGAATAAATAAAACAGTACTAACCTTATGTCACTCATCTGCTATTGTATCTATAGAAACTCAATGCGATATAAAAACATACATCATCATTGGTTCACCTTTTTGATGCTTGCCTTAAGCAACTGCCAAAGTGCTTATGGGTTCCCACGAATGTGACAGAGATTGCAACCACGCAGAGGTGGAGGTGGTAATAGGGAGACGGTAATAATGGGAGAACCACACCGAACAGTGCTGTTTATGAGATACTATCAATACTTACCTGTTTGTGTTCCTTGCCTATATATAAAGAGTAAAAGTAAATTGGGTGAGTCGTGGCTAACTATAACGAGACACGATAGTACTAGACAAGTCTTCGGTTCTTCATCTCTACGTGTGTTGGTGGAGTCGAGTGTCGAGATAATCAGTGGCACAATCGTCATTTTATACGCATCATGTGAATGACGTAGCCAAAGTAAACGTAACGCCGTCTTATTCATTTTATGGCCGCGTAAAATATAACCAAAGTCATACCCCATATTAAATATTTAAAACGACACCGGATTAAACCGACTTTTTCCTATTTTAATATGAAAATTTTAGAAATTTTTTGGGGGTAATTTTTTTAGACTTTTTGAATTTGGACTAGAATTTAGGGTATTAGTATTGTTTGATAATAATAATAGAAATATTTAGTAAATTCCCAAGATTACACCTGTAGTTCTTGTTATTTTAACAGTTTGCGCTAACATTTATTGATATGAATAAGAAACATCATCAGACTTCCGACGGTACTTGTATACTCGTACTGGCGTAAATCACGGACTGTGAAGTTAACGTCCGGAGAGAACACGTCGTTTCGATGAAACTATAGTTCTTTTCGAAGTACCCAAGTAGTGCTTCATGACACATCTAATCTACGTATTCGTATATTGTATTCTGGACACTGTAAGTCATTAGTCATGTTAACTGTTCATTTGATATATACAGTGAAGTCCGCTTTAACGAAGATGGCCTTATAACGAAGCTTTTTCAGGAACCGATTCATTTGTATATGCTTAGCTCCCGGTTTAACGAAGAGATAAACCCATTCAGTTTAACGAAGATTGCCTAAATTAGTGTGATATACCGAAATTTTGTTGCAAGATTTAAGTGTCGACATTCATAAAGCAACTGCGTAAACAAATTGTCGAAAAAAGTATTGCAGCAAAAACCAGACATGTTTAGAGGATTTTATTCACTTCGAAATTCAATAGAGAAACAGGATGGAATGTACGATACAGCACAGAAGTAAACGAATAAATCCCACTTTAACGAATATTATATATGAAAGTTCGTTATACTGTATAGTTAAAAGTCCGCTTTAACGAATAGTCCGTATTAACGAAGTTTTTTGGCGGAACGGAGCTCTTCGTTAAAACGGACTTCACTGTGTACTTTTGTTAGGAAAAACAATGCCGTGCTGAAGCATGAATTTGAGAATTATATAAACAAGGGCACGCATATGACCGCCAGACATCAGGGTGTCTTTGAAAGAGGCTAAGATGGTAATGTAAGTCTTGAGGGCAGAAATTGAGCATAACTGTACTTGTTCGTAATCGGTCCCACTAACCCAGCCAGCAATCAGATACTAACATCGTGCCAGAATTTATTAAAGCCTCTGTTAATATAGAGAAATATTCTACTTGTCATTGCTATATAGTGCAATTACACTGTACAGTTCAACCAAACCCTTCAGAATTTTGAATTATGCAATAAAGTCAGAAAGCCTCACACGGCTCTTTTAACAAAGTTCTTAAACGTAAATGTTAAATGTGTATAAGAATTATGCAACATACTGCATGCGTTATGACAGTATTTAATAGTTCGATCAGTGTTTTTTGACCATTTTGACGGCCCATAACGTACCCCCATAGTCTATTAAGAACACATCCCAATCCCACGATATCCAATACTTAACAAAATGGCCCAAAGTGAATATCCCAGATATATAAATGTACAGTCATATCGTAAGTTAATGTACAGTCAGCACAATCGACTTCTCTGCCTTCAAAATCTTCACAATCATAGGCCTCCTTATTGTTTTTCACCCATATCTCGTGACTATTGTGCATGAATCCAACGTTAACTGGCGGTAGATGAGCAACCAGATCGTTTTTATGCACCAGCCTTGTGAATAACAGAAGAATTGATGTCAGAGTATATACAAATGATAAAATTGACCAACGATGAGTGGGGATATGATAAAAAAATGATGATGTTATAATCGGTGTCAAAGGCTGTAGCAGTTTATAAACTGCTTGCGTAAAGCACGATATCAATGACTCATAATTACTGTGCATCGTACCTTGCTACGGTGTGATTGAGTCCGCCAGTCTTTACATAAAATTCTTGCTTTAAAATATAAGCAAAGATATCATTGCCGACACGTGGCTGTCCAAACGTTATCACTTTCATTTTGAACGGTTGTCCACTGGCTTTATTGTCCAATATTGGATTTAAAATATTCCTTTTCACATCGACAGCTAACAACGTTGCCAATGCACCACCCTACCAACAATAAAAGTTTAGCCATAAATCAGGTTGCAAATGATCATGTGTTAAGCCATCTTACCAATGAGTGTCCAGAAATTATCAGGTTATATCCTGCATACTTTGAGTCTTCCATCGCCATGAGATGGTTAATTTTCCAAAGAAGCATATCAGAGACTGTTTTGTAAGTTGCGTAAAATCCGCCGTGAACGAGAGCACCTAACGAACAGGGACAAGATCAGTCACCCTCATTATCAATCATACGTTTCATGTCTTTGTAATGCTCACCATCTGCATCAGGATACTCATAATCCAAAGAAGCAAATTGTAAATTATACACCCAATTCATCAGATCTAGACTCCTAATAGACGAACACCATTAAACCGTATCAACTATGATCACATATTCACGACAATCGCTTCTATTCTCTCCGATTCTTTGCTTACCCTCTGAAAGCCACAATGATCTCCTTAACTTCCTGTCGTATACCCACGTATCCACATGCCCCTTTAATTCTATCGTGAAATATCGTATCAACGATCACATCTCCGACACATCTGTCTTTACAATTCCATTTCTTCAAATTTGGCTTGTGACAATATGCTGCCGCAGCGTACAGAAGGCCAACATTCAGCTCATCCAGCAACCCACTACTCTGATTAATGAGCACTCTCGGCTTCTCAACTGACATTTGTTTGGATAGTAGCTCTTTCGCTGCGTATTCATGAGCTATGTTTTTGAGTGAGTGTATTAGGAGAGCTGTCAAGAAAACAAGAAGAAGTGTAAGTTTGAAGGACGTCAGCATGTTGGTTTAAGCCTGAGCGGTGAACTGGTTTGACGCGTGAATTTTAATATTACGATTAATATTACCCTACGGTGTGACCCTGTGACTATATGCGTATGCAAATGTAGAAGGGAGACTTACATTGTCATGTGACCTGTTTCTGTTTTTTATTACTCCTTAAATTAAACATTTCTCGATCGATCGCAAGCTCTCAGTTCTCGGGTCTGCGTGAGACGACATGCCGACACAAAGTTCAATAGTTGTCATGGGACTGCCTTTTTTGAATTTGCCCAATAACGATAAATATGATGGCTTGTGTGGCTCATAGCACGAGTCTGCCGAATTTTTCGGGTTTCAATCGTTATCGCCGTAGTAGCGATTCTGCATTAATAATACGATATTTCATAATCTCGCAAATGTAATATACTCAAAATTGTTTAATTCTCCACGATTTCATTAACCAAAATATCTTCTATCGTTATTTTTATTAAGCAACGATTATACAAATTTGAGCATTAATGTTGCAGCAATGACTTATTTAATTATTTGATATATTGTATTAGTATGGTTGATGGAATTGTAAAGAACTTTGATATATTTATTGCTTTTGCGAGATTTCAATCGTATGATTACTACGTACTACGGCGAAAAAAACCATCTTTTATGGCATATACGCATAAAAAATAACAAAGTTCTTAATGTATCTGCTATTGCAAATGGCACATAAAAACTTTTTTCGTATAAACATTACCTTATATGTAATAGATCAAAATCTGTTATTGTGGTACACTTTCTTCACGGACAAACCTCGAGAGTCACATGCCCGCACATTCTTTTTTGCCAAGATCTTGGAAAGTGCTGCGCGATATGATATTTATTGTAACAACACCGGTTAACTTACTCCAAAAATCAACCACAACGCAATAAATATCGTTGAAACAATACATCTTAAATCTGTCAATAACACTACAAATAATGCTTATCAAAAACGAACCCAACAAAGAACAAAGGTTATTCGCCAGTTGAAACGTTCTGAAACGACCATACGATAAAAGAGCCCAAAATTTTCATTTAACGAAATGTCATTCGAAATTTATAAATTACTTGAAGAAAAAGCTGTTACAACTTCCACAATACGTAACTTTTATCTTGGAAGAACAATTCCGCGAGAAAAGACCATTAAGGCGCGATTCAACATTGGATCGATAAAGAAAAGAAGGGAAACGTCCACACAGATGAAGAAATAGATAATAGTGATAATATTATTAATAGCATAAAGATAATGAAATTTAAAATTAGCACCGGAGTGGCCAAAGAATAGGTTATACTCATAAATGGCTTTGGCCCGAGTATTTTCCTCCCATGCAATCACTCTTGTGCTTTTTTTTCAAGAGCACACATTCCCATAATCAAAATAATAAGAATTATTGTGTCTGAAAGAGCAAAATGCGAAACGAATGCACTTGAGTAGTCTTTTATCGTAACAATAAAGAACGATCTTTCGTTGATAGGTTTCTCGATCGGTGGATGCCTTGTGCAAAGCTTTGGGTTAAATTACTTATGTTTCTTCTAATTTCGTTTCTTTCTTGGTACATCATGTGTTGGTGTTGGTGTTAATGCTCGTTTAGTAGTTATAATCCTCTTGGTAAATTTCATAAGTGGTTTTTTCGGGTCCGGTTCATTTCGCCGACGATCATTTCACCGACAAATTTTCGCCAGCATTATTTTGAAATTATCCTTTTTTGGTAGTTTTTGTCGGTGAAATGTACCTGTCGGCGAAATGATTGTCGGTGAAATGAATGCCTCCCTGATCTGGAGAGGTTGGGTATTGTTAATTTTAAAAATATACGGAGCAATTGAGCTTTCTTTAAAATACTTCTAATGGTGCTGTAATTCTTTGGTTCCATAGTGGATTTAATGTAAACTAATTTTCATATTAATATAGAGGCAATAGTGATAGTAATGCTATATTAATCCTGTTATGATTTATATTTATCACATTCTGGTATGATAAAGAATTAACAGTCCACTTATTAATGAGCACCATGATTTACAATTTTACAGCCACATCATAATCATAATCAACCCCTCATTTATGTCAAATAATAGAATGTTCACTTTGTTGCAGCATGGCAAATATGTACGTATGTCATATAATATTAATTACTTACTAAATGTAAAGATCAAAGTCCTTAAGTTGTTTGCTACGGCATGTATAAGAGAGAGGTATACATTGACAACTTTATCATAAGAGGACTCTTTGTTAATTGGTATGAAAACTGGGAAAAGCCATTTTCATCAACTTGAACAGTCTCAATTAAACAGCATATCATAATTCAAATATTATGAGCAGATGAAAGTCCAATACTTTATCCACCGTACGGAGAGCCGATACTGCCTTTGTGGACTTGCATTAGACGTTATAAATATATTTTATTGTACAGATACCGAACAAGATCAACTGTCGTAACTAGTTATAATAATCTATAAAAACATGTGTATTTAATAAGAGAACCAATGTCCATTTCTATCCACCATTCATATACCTCTATGACTCTACGTTCTTCGCTTATATTTCTGTAGTATGAAAAAGATGTCAGTATATAGCGGACGTGTCCAAAAAAACAATAGAGATCTTAACTCACATCCTCCATCTCCAGTTTCTGATTTGGATCAATGGTATTACGTAGCCCAAGAAGAGTTTTGGATACAGCTTCTGATGCGCCTATCATAGGTTTCAATACAGCAACTGGAACAGCTTTTATGACTGCTTTAGCGCTTCCTTGTGCTCCAGTCTTTTCATACACTTCCATGGGTACAGCGAATATAGTATGTGCAGCTGTACCAATGTTTTGTCGGAGACTCTTGTAGGCAGCTTCAATACCTATGAACATAATACTATGTTTGAGCGTACGCGACAAAATGACGGACAAGAAAACCAAGATCGTATAATTACCTTCATTAATATCGGCTGGCTGCTGTGCATATTTACTTGGTTTCCCTTCTTGATTGTCATCATCGCTATCATCCTCGCTTGCTGCCGTTGACATGCTTGCTCCACGACCACTCTTATCATCGGAGTTGAATGACAATATCTCATCAGCATGCTCCAGCATTACTTGCGTTCCCACAGCTAATTTGGTCCCCAGTTTAATAGCCTCCATTGTCGTTGCTTTTGCAAATGATTGAGTCCCTTTTTGCAATCCTACCATACAACTATGTATCAGCACACAAAGTTACGCGCGCTGAAACCGCCATTAATAAAAAAAAACGCACCTCTAATAATTCGGCCATCTTTCTTGTACTGTTCAACAGGAAGCAATATCAAATCAACTACTCCAGAACCTATATTGACTAGAGACCTGATGGGGGCTACTCCTGACAGCACATTGGACACTTGCGTATTAGTGATATGGGGCAACCAAGCAGCGCCCAAATCTTCAATTAGTCGTCGCCATCCTTTAACCTTTTCAATGAAATTTTTGAAATCAGCGTGAGACATTACAGAATTTAAACGCAACATGACAAAGCTACACATACTCCAGTAAGCGTGACATCTCTTAATGTCATTTCAGCAGCCTCCAAATGGAAGAAATTCATAAGTTCCACAAGGTTTCCCTCTTTCAGATTTGTATAATCAACGTGCTTGGGTTTGTAATCTATTTTCATGACAACTGGCTGTATTTCAAAGTACTCTGTGTAGATATACGATATTGATTAAACAAAAGTAATTGAACATGATGTGCCAATAGTGCCTGATAATAGTGAGTTTAAAAAAATACTTACGAAAATAAGTATCATCTTCTGTATTAGGCGTGCTGTCAGAGCGATCTTGGAACGAGAAAAATCGTATCAAAAAGTTGAGAGCATCTTGATCGATGTGGAATCTTAATGGCAACAGTCGAACCTGTGTTATGTTTGAATAAGTACTAGTCGTTTACGAATGACGGAAAACAATTAAACGCCGCATATACACCTACTTTCAATCTGAGCTCCTCTGAATCGGATGGAGTTGGGCGAACACTTTTTAGCTCTACTCGAACCATCTTGGACTTTGTCTCGTACAAGTTCCTGTCATCAGCTGATCGCATGTGTGACATAAATTTGCCCCACCCAGAAGTTTTAATCTTGTCAAGAATTTCGATCTCTTTAACGTATACAAGCAGGCGAAAGCCTACTTGATCATCCTCTGGATACGAATCAAAATCTAAAGATATTTTCTCTAATATTATATCTAATTTGCTAGATCGCGATCGACTCAGTTTCGGACGAGTAGGACGGTGAATAGGGTTCGATCGTCTCCCTTCTCTTCCACAGTGATTATCTGTATCTGTTTTGCTACCGAACTGACTGGCTGTCTCACTATGATCATCCATAAAATCTATCTCAGAAGTCGCTTGCGAAAAGGTATCATATTCTGAATGTCTGAATGGGGTTCCTGTCACTATTTGCTCGAAGAAACTACTCGTCTCAGTATTCACAGTCTTATTCATTTCTTCTCCGGTATCTTTAGACGCTTCAGCAAGCATTTCAGCTTGAGCTTTGGCACGTGCAAGTCGATCCAATACTTCCGTTCGAGTGTTCTCCCAATCATATCCATCATATAGCTTCCATATGACATTGAAGTCTCGTATCCGAACACGCATGAGGCTCTTCTTTTGTCTGTTTAGAGAGAACCAATGTCAGCAATCTAATACATACATTACCAAACAATGAACAGTATCTAACCCTTCAGCTGCTTCGAGTTCGCTGACAGTTGGTGCAGCAAAATGATCTTCCTTGTATTCGATTTCATAAGGTGTTACCCATGTTAATTTATTTTCAAAGTCTTCGAGACCTTTTACATTTTCGGAATCTTCGAGGCCTAGTACAAACTATATTAGAATATCGTTTTCGTTTAACGAAAACGAATTTCAATCTTTACCTCCATCGAACTCTCGAACGGCCTTGGATTCAAACACTTCATCATTATTATCAGGCCTATCTCGTGGTTCATCTTTCTCAAAAAACTCCTCATCAAAGTAGATAACATCTTGATTCAAATTGTCCTGCTTTGAATGATTCTTGGGGGTTCTTGATTTAATCGTCTTTGGCTTCGAATATTTGAAAGCGTTTTCGTCTATTTCATCTGAAAAGAAAAAAATTTTTTGATGAGTACCCTCATTGTATCTTAAAAACTATGAACATCTATGTCCTACATTACCCAATATGCTTCCTTCTAATGCTTCGGTTATCCCATCACCCACCGACATATACGTCGTTGGATCGGCAGACTTTTTATCCCTGGATTTCGAAAATAGTAATACTTGTTGGAACTTATGATGGCACTTTAAGAAATCAAGATCAGGATCTTACTTCTTATCTGGTGCACTGAACGTGGCTGATATATGATTCAGCAATTGAAGTATTGTTTGAAAGGTATCGGCGCATGTTTCAATAGTTAAATTTTCGTCCGTGAGCTTAAGCTGGAATAGAGAAATTTGATGAATACGAACGAAAATCATGGAGATTGCAATGCATTTTTAAGTTACCTCAAGATAGGGATATATATTTCTCTTAATTCGTGCTGCTATATTGGCGAAATCTAGGGCGGCGGCATGGGCGAAACCTATTTCCTAAAAATCCAATGCATTAGAAAATAACAGGTAAAAGAGGTGTCCCATTAGTGAATAGTTACCTTCCAATATGTTTTTACGTCTAACGGATCACTGGTAACTCTGTTAATTATGCGGTCACTCAAACTCTTCACATCATCAACGATCACCATGTCCATATTTTGTACTACAACTTTACATGAAAACGTCGGAGACTCGGGAATTATTCTGCTTGAAACCTACAAAAAGATGTAATCTCAGCAGCCAATACTAAGTTGTATGTCTAAACAAACGATAATACCTTTACATTCTCTACTACAAACACTATACGCGACGCGAGGTTTTCGGGTTTGTAATAGATCGACGAATCATTGATGTTGACTAGTAGTTTGGTATGACTAGTCATGGTTGTATATGGTATCTAACAATATTTACAACAAATTGGCATTATTATACGTCATGCATTACTAAATCAACAGCGGGTTTACCTTACCATGGTAGGTTCTTGCACGAAATTCGAGAAGTCCTCTATCCACATGGGTGTCATAGTATATTTTAGTGTTACCCCGTTAACCGAGAAAGCTATTTTTGTCTCCTTATAATTAATAGCTTGATCAAAGAAGATGCCCATAATGATCAAGCTCATAGGATGCGTATTCTTCGTCTAGTGTTGGGTGACGTTAGTACTTGGCGTATACAAACGGTTACGGGCGTATCATGAAAGAGTACATACCTTGATCTCTTTAGCGATTGTTCGCTGTAGTATTTGCGTTTTTTCCCTCGAATTCGAAGTATCACTAAGAGTGAAGTCATCATTATCCACGCATATATAGGTAACGTTCTGTATTTTTTTAAAAACGTAAATGAGCTAATTATACATTTTACTAGGAAGAAGGGAAAAGAAAATCCGATCCTTACTTCTCCTTCATAATTTATGACGGCAAAGAATCTAAATTCAGATGTATCAAATTGATAAGATCGCTTAGATGTTGTTTGAATGTCACCGGTTGCGTCACATAATAGCTTAATTTCGGCTGATATAAAATTAAAATCTAGTTAGTCTATGTACGATTTCCCTAAGCCAAGTATCATCAAAGTTAGTACCATTCGCCATTGAGACAACTAAGGAGGCCAGGCTTGGTTTTGCGTCCTTGGCAATACCAATAAACTCTTCTCCCGCGCGTTGTCTCGGCTCCAAGGTATCTTCGTTCAAAGAAACATCCTCAAATCCCAAGTTTAGTGGAATGTGTGTTTCAAAGCCACTAATTGCGAAAGAGTGTTCCGTCGGTGTCAGAGATGAACTAGTATCATTTCCCGTCTGACCAATGTTCGGTTGTTGCCATATTGATATATCGTTCAGCAGGAGTAATAGTGTATCGTACGATTGTTTTGTGATGTCTGCTCGAGTAAATGGGAAGAAACAGTTGAAGACAAAGATCTGCATATAACAACAGAACGGGTAAGAGCTAGTTGTGGGCGATAATTACTAGGTATGTAAGCAAATAATATGCATAAAGTCATAATACTAACGGATCTTTCAATAGTACGATGTTTAAAATTTAGCATTTCCTCTTCTTCACTCTCAGATGGATGCCATTTAACGCGTTCTTCCCCTTCAAATGAAGTAAACGTTTTTGCAAAAGGAGTTGAAGGAAATGATCCGTTGGGTGCCCGTTTACTTGTTACTGAACTGACTGGACGATAAGTTATCAAAATGTTCGGAGTCAGTGATTGATCATCTGAAGCTAGCTTCTCAACGGTAAGAATGTTTTCAGTTTTGTCTATAATACAAAACAATAGATCAGCATATCCGTCGAATAACCACAGCAACGATAATCTTGCAATAATAACCAACTGTCATGCTCTACAAACCGTTTTTCAAATAAACTTTAGCACTATGACACTCTATTTTAACTCTCGTTTGATTCTCATCAATCGAGTTCGCTACGGTCTCAATCGTATCAGAGTGACCAAAAGTGTAAGGTCTAGCAATTCTGCCAGAACGGACGTCGGGCGTTAGGATATTCATTTCAATTACATCAATTATAATAAAATCTGATCGTATTCCATGTTCACAACTTCCATCGCTACTCATATCAGGGCATATGAGCCAGAAGCGAATCAAATCATTGCGTATCTCAAGTCTTGACGGTATTATGGAAGAGTCCTGTTTATGCAAAGAAAGACCCCCTGTTAATTGAAAGATAATTATAATCAACGTACGCAGATACATAGTACCTCGCTCGATCCAACGTCCAGATCGTCTATTATACTTGAAGCAAACAAAGTTTGGGCCTTGTCTTCTTCTAATTTATCCACGCGGTTGATACTCCCAGCGATACCATTTATATATTTAGACATCCGATCTATCATCCATAAATTAAGATAGATTTCAAGCGGTTCCAACTCTATAATTATATCTCGACGTAATTGAGGCGAAGGATTAGCTGTAGAAATGTTGACCGCTATAGTATTGTTATGTTATAAGTTAATGTAATAGTTAGTTGTAGGCATAAGCTTTCAAGCTACATTTAAGAAAACATCTTACCTTCTTCTTCATTATATCGCATATCAACTCTAATAACGGCAGAATCGACTCCGTGATCCGTATGCTTATTACCTCCCCAACTCTTTCCTTCACTATTACTCCTTATATTTTCAACTGGATAGTCATGCCCTTCAAAACCGGAATCCTTTTCTAGATTAGAGTCAAACTGTAAAACAGGGTAATACTTCCAGGCAGAGCTCGCGTTAGACTGTGTGTATATGTCGACAGACGAACGCTGCCTCGAGTGTCCCTTCAAAGCCTCCAATATATAAAAGTCAGATATTGTTAGATTAAATGAGATGCTAGATGCTTCCTCCAAATCACTATTCTTATGTTGTCCGTATGAAAATGAACCACTCGAAGTACTCCCGGTTCTCCTCTTGTTATAGAGATTATCATCTGACATTCGTTTTGAAACGCTAAGAACACAGCTATGGACATCTGCCTTTAAATGACTCTCTTCGAATTGTCGTTTCTCGAATGTGTCCCTTCCCGGAATACATTCCAAGATCGGGTCATTATACAAGAAGAATAGTTCTATTAAACGCAGTTCTAGCTTGAAGTTCATTCCGGATTGATTATAAGATGCCGTTGACTGTACATTGGCAGAATGTGAACTAACACTATTAGACATATTATAACTACTTGACTGTTGATGCGTTTTAAAAGATGACGGCTTCTGATGTAAAACATGAGGTAAGTTGCTAGTCGCCTTTGTGGTATGATAGTCGCTTGATGTATATTTGTTGTCAGTATGAAGAATTATATCGTCGTCACTCTCGGCAGCGCTAGACGGTTTGATATCCACTTCTGAATCACTCCCAATCAGAGCATTGAGCAAATCGGAAAGCAGTGAAGCCTGACCTGGTGTCATGATCCCAGTCAGAGCCTCAATGAAACATTCGATATTATACGATTGAGTAATATTCGATTGTTGCATTGCCTCTTGCGTATTATAGTATGATGCTGATGCATTATGGTTATCGAAATGGATAGGAGGAGGAGCATTCTGGCGAACTGTTACTCGTGCCCAGTTTCCCTCTTTTTTACAATGAAACAGCAACGCCTCATACGACTTTGCTTCTTTGTTTCCATTATCTGGCATATATTCATTATCATGAGCGTCATAATACTCATCCCCACTGTCGTGACCCTCTGTAAACTCGGATGCACTAAGGAATATATTATCTTTTTTGTCAAGTGATTGTGGATCTAAATGAATGGAACTCGTTGCAAGAGAACTATTGAAAAATGTAGTATCTTGAGGAGCATCTGATGAACGAGTTGCGGCAGTCAATTCTTCCCTAAGCCAAATACTCAATCCGGATATTGAAAGATGCTTAATCATTTTAGATTTTGCAGATAGCGTGACATTCGATACTTCGGGTTGACTTTCGTCCGTCATTCCAAGCGTTTCATCCTTATATGAAATTTCAGGAAGTTCCAGATCAAAATAATAATCTCTCAATTGCTCTTGACCACTCGTCATATGCTCTGAAGGTAATATCGTAGATTGGTGATGCAGCCTAATCAGTGTATCCTTAAACACAACTTTAACACTAGCAATTATATTATCAATGAAGCTTGCCAATACTTGAATTCCTTCGATTTCTCCTTCTCCCTGTTGAGTAAAAGTCTGAGATTGCTCCATAATGTTGCTGTCATTATTGTCAGATACGAAAGACGCACTATTATGAAAAGATTGATAGATAGAGTTACGAAGCGCTTCATCTGCTTCAGCCGGAAGCTCGTTTTGAAGGAAATCTCCAGCGAAATGTATTGACGAAGATAATATATGGGAATCTTCGGGTGCAGATTTGGCTAAAATAAAAAGACAATCTTATTGAATAACACATACTATATGTGTACATAAAACAGTTTCTACTATCACTCTTCCTTTGAAAATAAATAAATAAGAAGAGATCAGGCGTTTCCTTATAATTCACGTATTCTTCTTTATTTTGGAAATAATAGAGTTTACCATTTCGAGGCTTTGCTTGTTCAGGAACGAGAATAAGCTGTAGACTATCAATTTCCAAAACATATTCCTGTTTCCAAAATGTTGTCCACGGAATACGCGCGGTTATTCCACCAATTTTACCGCTGGCAATCGAAAACGGTAAATCTGTGAAAAGTTCATTGAGAACCTGTATCACGCGTAACCAAGCCATAATACGCAAAGTTTAACAGTAAAGAATTAGGCGATATTTATAAACCCGAAAAAGAAGAAAAAACGACTTGACTGATTAGAATTAGTGAGAATGCTACGTCTCACACAGCTTGACTGTACGGCAAGACTTCAAGATCATGTGGTTATGTAAATGATAAATACCTCAACGTTCAGTTGTAATTCTCTCAATTGTAAAAAGCCATTGCCCAGTTGCACTTCAAGATTATTAAGATCCAGTTCTTCTGCTAAAAACTGACCGACAGCTTTCCTTAACAGAAACGTAAGTAGTCGCTTTTGAAGAGTTTCGGTAATGGCAGTGTTTAAGCTCCAGCCAGTAAACCATCCGGTAGACATCGTCTTTACTGATGATTAATGATATTAATGTATTTGTCTATGTTAAATATTATACTTGTCAGAAGGTTGGAAACGGGAATACTAATACGGGTGGAAGAGTTTGGGTTGCGCCAAAGGTTCTCATTTGATTGGACATTTAATGCGAAAATGGCTAGGCGCAGCAGTTTTGCTCACGTGTTCTATAATTATTCTTTTACGATTGGTCAATTCTATTAAGTTTAAGTTAACGGATTTTGTTTACGTAACAATAATGAGGAAACCGTTCAAACAAACGACCGTCATTTCCTATGCTAAATTACCTAAATTGTATTAGGTACTTGCAATCATTACTAGATTAGGTTATACTTTGCGAAACGCCATGTCTTCTGAACTGGCGTAAAGTACTTTGAGTACCCCGTGATCCTACAAGATACCCTTAAATGGTATCTGTAGGAAATGATAATGAATCGGGGGGAAATGACTCACCATCTATTTTATGGTCTTCCAATTCGAAATTTGCACATTAAACATTGTCTAATGCTAAATATCACACGACAATATCAACATTGTTTGCGTGACGTTGTCGAAATAAATGAAAAACAGTTACCGTAAAGAAATTTTACGTTTTTGCATTCCTTCTTATTTTTGGAAGCTATTGTCAAAGAATAATTAATACAGTGGGCCGTAGGTTGGGGTTCGGGAACCACTACCGCCACGAGGACGATGATGAGCGAAATTCTCGGCAGTAAATCAGGGAATACAAAATTTGTGATATAACTTGAAGTTGAATGGACGTAGAAGCGAGATTGGAAATATTATTAATAGATTATGTTTATTTTAATATTATTGCATGTATTAGTATCCATTTGAATAATCAATAATCCGCTTAAATTATGGCTGATATAGACGACAAATAGAAAACCAATAATAACAAGGGAAACTTTTAGCTGGCATTTTTGTGATAATGTGTGAAGGGGATAACGAAGTTCTCATTTTTTTTGATAACCCTCGTAAAAGTTTCTGGCTGAAGAATTTGATGGAAAACAGACACAATTTGGTGAGTTTACTATTATACTTGGTAACAAATCAGTAACACGTTTATACATTATTTTGCGACATTAACGTTAATTAATTAATATTAAACCAAGATTAACACCAATACACTACTGGCTGTTCGATAATATACTCAGCAAGAAAACAATTTTTTACCTCAACATTTCAGTCAACTCTCTCTCTAAATGCACACACTCCCTGTTCTGCATGTGCAATCAATTTCACAATTCCAATGAGTTATTCTAATATGAAGGCAGTCTCTATAAATGCACGTAATTCTTATGTAGCAGTAGCATAGCGGTAGAATGCTTACTTTCCAAAAAAGTTGCCCAAATTCAACTTCCGGCTAATGAATATGTTAAGTGCCGAATCGCGTGATTTTACCAAACCCGTATCAACAGGTTAAACAGAGCGTTATTTTTAGCGAGCACCTTGCTGTGAATAACAATCACATGCATGCAAAATTCTATGTAATTTTTGCTGATAAATTAGTAAACAATATACATCTACACTGGCCGTATCTACGCAAACAGCAAAAATTGCGGAGCTGATTGACTGTAGTTTTTGAATAAAATACCCATAAATTTGGGCAAGCCATTATCCGCTAAAGTGTTAATACATACTAATACAGTATGTTACATATGTAAATCATCTAAAAAGTGTGTTTTACTCATATCAACAATCTCTTTTAATAAGTAATGTAATTATAGCAAAGCTCATTTAATGGATCTCGTTGCAACGGAATCGCTTTTAAAAGAATTTTTCTGACATGACCGATCCGATGATAAAATCTTCCTTGTCATGATCAACATTAATTTTAATATATAACTAATTAATACAGTGTGACGCATCCGTCAGTCACGCGTGACGAAATTCCATCACAGGCACATAATTATCATTTCGTGACAATCTTTCGGTCACTATAATTAACTTAAAAGTATTATTTGTTTTTAGAAAAATCATGCGGTTATTCCATTAATTTTCGTGACGAATTTCCCCGTCACGGTAAAGATGTATAAGAGACATTCCGTCATCAAAATGGAATGTTTGGCATGCTTGATATGTTTTATTGTTCAAATATTAATTCCGTGAACATTAGATTTATGCATATAATTATATTATGCTATCGACTTTGCAAATGTTAATGTAATTTATGACCAAGTTGTTACTGGCACATTTGACGATTAGGAATTTATTTTTATAATATTATGATAAATCAGTACAACCTTCTGTCTTCAAACTGTTTGGAAGCAAATTTTTTAAACTAATTTTTCTTAAGCTCTAACCACCATTGAGACGTTGATATTATTATGTAATTAACAATACACCGTATTTCTCCGAAACAAGCAAAATTTTTTTGGACAATACTGCGCCTCGTCACACATCTAAAAGCTACAAGATTTTTCGAAGCAGGAACAAAACAAGCTATTGTCTCGTCTATCCTAATTCTGGATATTGCCCACGGCACTATTTTGTTTTTTGTATCTCATAGAGAAGTATTATGAGTCTTTTAAAAGTTGGTGGAAAAGTGTACAAATGTAGGAGGAGACTATTTTGAAAAAAAAAATAAATTTAATTTTAAAATTATTCAAAATAAAGCCAAGCAGCAAGAACTTTTTGAACCACCCACGTAATTGTCAACCCTTGAGAGCGCTCACAATTATTATTGCTGTGTAATTTACAGTTAACTCCAATACGCTCAACGCCTAGCAAAGAGTCAATACCGTGATTGCTGAAAGAAAGAGTGATTATGATTCGATACAAGGCCAAGCAAAATATCAATAATCCATACTCGTTGAGTTAGACTTTCCTGAATCTTCGTAGGAATACGAAAAGTTATTATATCGCCTAAAACATGTGGTTATCGCGGCGACTCGTATGTGTAACGGCTAATTCGTCTAATCGTAATCACGCAAGCTCATAATGAAGCGATGATGAGAAGAACCCTCACGTTAACCCCATCGCATTATTGCTAGTCTTCCAATTTATATATCAAGTGAAAATATAAATTTCACAATATAATGGAATTACACGTATAATCTCAAGAAGTTCACTTTCCATTATGACGTGATATCCAAGATAGAATGCGGCATGATTATGTGTCAAACATCCATGCCAGCAATGGACAATCATACTCACGAGTGAATTATCACACACCGAACAATTATTAATATGAAAGGATTGATGAGTCACCATGTGAGTCGGCCAGAAAGCGGTTAAGGACTCCATTCAACGTTCAAGTAAAGACCACACAACAAGCAGCAACCTTTGATGACATATCAGAATCTTCCTACAGTCTCAGTTGTGAGAATTCAGTGTCAGACAGCACTGTAACTGTCTCCATTTAAAGTCGAGCCACCACACCTCTGCAAAACGTAAACATAGTACTGCCTTTGAGAATCTTGAAGATGTAGAAGATCAAGAAGAAAGTGTATAACCTGATGGACAGGAAGAGTGTGCAGATTTTGAAATTGATGATGACTCTGTAGTAGTAGTAGTAGAGTCTTTGACGGAGCCTGGGAATTGGCGGAAAACAGTGATATAGCCAACGTTTTGAACGGACTGGCATCAAGACCTGTTGAACGGGCTAGCAACAAGTCTAATGTATTATCTTATACTTGATCTGCGTCCTCCATCCATAGTAATAGGGATTTCCCAATTTCAGGCATACTGGTACCTCAGTGAATCTCACTTGAAAATCATCAAAGAAAGGGCAGAAGCTGCCAAAAGCAGCAGGTTTGATCCTCCTCATCATGTACAGAAACTACTTAGAGCATTGGAAATGGTAAGGCTCTCATTATCTTCAGCATGTATATAGTATAGAAATTATTTTTTTATTCAATTGTCTGCAGCTCCCTTCAATAAATCTTCTCCCTCTAAATGGCAAGCAGTGCTAGTAAGGTCTTGTAACATTCGTTCAAGCTTAAAGTTACTTAAATCAAAGTCTCACTTGGTCTTTTGTTTGCCCTGTTCGCTTAACCAACCATTATGTATATGCTCATCATCATGGTTGGCATCACTGTTTCTTTATCATCTTTGAGTAAACCACCAAATCCTCTTTTTTAAATCTTCTTTTAATTGTTCACTTGCCCTGCTAATTGATTTTTTAATAACTCTATTTCGTTTAATAATTCTTGGTTTTTTTGTTTTTGAGTTTCTAAATTTAAAATTGTCTACCATGATTTTTGTCTATTTTATTTATTCTATTTATTGTATATTAATATACTTATTTTTTTTATGAGGGTAAATGAAGTATATAAATATTTTAAGTCTTCAAAATTAAAGCAGGAAAAGATAGTGATAGCAAAATTTTTTATTCTTAAAAAATTAGATAAAACCACAACTTAATGATGGTGAGGAAATTGAAGTAATAAGTAATTGAGAAGATTTTGTATTAATGCCAATATTAATATAAATTGGTTGTGAACAAGTAATGTTTTTAAATTCATCTCTAACAAATGGGCGGATATTATGATAAAGATATTCTTGTCTTTTGTAATGCAAAGAGGCGGAGATAGAAGAAAATTTAATATTAATCTCTTTGGTAATTTCGGAAACACTTGTCTTTTTCGTTTTTGACAAATTAAATTCAGTAAAAGCACCAGTAGCAACCAGCTGAGCTTTGACGACTCCTAGATAAACTGCTTTGAATACAAAATGCTGATATTTTTGCAAGCCACTTAAAGTTTTAAAAAAAATTTTTCTAACACAGAATTAAAATCTTAGTATTGAAAGCTTTCCCGTTGAGGGAACGGCTTGAGATTATTCACGGCTGGCTTATCCCAAGGGCATCCGGGAAAAAATTGACGGCATTATTGTAACCGTATCATTGACAAGGATCGCGCTTTTTTCTTCCATTGAAAACACATCTCAGGTGTGAAAAAATTGAGCACAGCGGGATTAATAAAGCTCAACGTTATGACAATGATATGATTCACACAATCTACTAGATTGTTTAGATGCTAAAAGTCAGATAACAGAATTGGAAGCAAAAAATAAGGAATTAGAAGGAGTGGAAATTGAGGTTGAGTATAACTTGAAACGCTAGACAAGTCCAAAGAATGACATGATAGAAGAGTTTTTGTAGAGAATATGAAAAGAGATTGCACTATTATTGAACAAAGAATAGAGAATGAATTGAAAAGATACTAAAACTAAATAATTATGAGAAAAAAAAAATAAATAAAGAGATTGACAAAGAAAAAAATATAAAAACTCAAAGGGAAAGTTAATTTGGTTAAGAAAATGTCATGCAAAAGTTTGACACTTATATCTTACAGAATAATTAGTTATAAAGAATTAGAATATTAATATGGAATTCTTGAAAGAACAAAATTATCTGTTCCATATTGCATGATTAGTGATGAACCAGTTCTTGATAATGCTACTCATGAATTAGTGTCATACCATGAAGATGGTTTTACTGCAGATATTGGTTCTATTTGTGCTAATTGCAAAAAAATTTTGAAAACAATAATCTCTCTCATTGTGAGCTTTGTGGTAGACTACAAAGAAATATAAATAGAAGATTTAATCGCTAACTTGTCCAGCGATTGTTTCGGTAGCATTTAGATAAGTTATTCATGGGATAGAACGCGCGTCGATAATTGAATACGGGTATCGGTTGTTATTGTAATCTAAAAGATGGCAAATTCAGAACATCTTCCACAGAAGATGGGACATCCCAAACTATTGAATCTCGTTTAGCAAATAAAACCAAGAAACCTGAATGAATTGAAAACTGCCAAGGAGGAGCTGAACATTGAAAGAGAAGAAGTAGCTAAATTTCATAAAAATGAGGTGATGAAAAAATGAAAAGGATTAAAGCATTGAAAACTGAAGTCGCCAAGTTAAAGGAAGAAAACCAACACTTAAACGAGCAACGAAATGGTCAAATTGCTCAAATTGAAATTAAAGAGAATTAAAAATGACCTTGATCGAAATTAAGGAAATAATTTTTTTAAATACTTCTAATGGTGATGTAATTCTTGGGTTCCATGGTGGATTTAATGTAAATTAGTTTCATCTTGATATTTTTATATAGAGATAATCCTATATACAGGTATATTAATCCTGTTATGGTTTATATTCATCGCATTCTGGTTTGATAAAGTGAAAATTAAAATTAACAAGTCCATAAGTTATGAACGAGCACCATTATTACTTTTCAAAACGTCATCAGTCGCACTGGTTAATTTTACAGCCACATCGCAGTCCCTCATTTATAGTTCACTTTTATGCGTAATAGTAATAGTTAATACCGACAATGTCACGGGGAATTCTTGTCATACGTCCATATTATCACGGTTACAAAGAAAGGCGACTTTCTGCTTTATTATTTTTCAATAGACAAGCAGTTTCTTTATACTTTGTCAGTTTATTTTAGCTGAAAGTTTTTAATTAATTAATGGAATCGTTCTAATTCCTGATTATATCTCTCAGATGAAGTTTTTTTAAAAAAGGAGCAATGCCTGTTTCGCGGCGCAAAGCCTCTGACAAATCAGTCGCTGTAATCTGTTTGGTTTATCAGTCTTGTTTATTAGGAATATACTTAGCATTGCGACTGTTATTTGCTAATGCGTTTTAGCAAACCCAACATATTTGGCAGACAGTTTTAACTAGTTCATATCAAGTTCTAATTTTGAAACTAAATAGCCCTCAAATGCAATACATATATTAATATACTAATGTTTCAATGTTAAGTGACAGTGGGAACTTTCACTCTCCATCATTATTGTTACTAATTTACCATGATGAGAGAAAATATGACTATTTACAGCAGCCAGAACCCTGGCCAGCTTTCTGACCATTCGGATCCAAGTCAAGTCTATTGCGAGGCTGTGGGTCCTGAGAATGATTGTCAATGAGTCGTTTCTTGATATCCCTATTAGGTAATATCATAACGTTATTCGCGGATAACATGACGGTGTAAAAATGTCGACCTCGTCAAAAGCAGACTCTAAGACTCTGTTCATTAGCTTACCTGGCCAAAGTGAAGAATGCTTCCTCGACATTAGTGTTAGCCTTAGCGCTAGTCTCCAAAAACTTGATACCAAACTCGTCAGCAAGTAATTGTCCCTGTTCTTTGGTGATAACCTATATACAGCAGACACTATGTGAGTATGCGAAAGCGGAACAAGAGTAGGAAGGGATATTGAAGTGAAATATCTAGTTTACTCACTGACCTTCTTCTCGACCCAGTCACACTTGTTTCCAATGAGAATCTTATTTACTCCTTCGCTTGCATGCTGCTCTATGTTGGAGAACCAGTTCCTTATGTCTGTAATTGGATTAAGGATATATTGGCAAAAACTACGCTTCAGCTCAAACAGAGCTTACATGACCCGTGTTTTCAAATCATACTCATTTCCAGCAAATATGCTGAATGTGACAAAGGATACTGTTAAACGAACGTTCATCTGTGACATCATAAACCAAAAGTATTCCCATAGCACCACGATAATAAGCTACACGTATGAACATCGCGATGAGTAAAAAAAGAGGTATAATAATGATCGTACAAAACAGATCAACCAAGTTGGCACGCTCATGACCAATTCACGTTCAATAATTACCGGTTGTAATTGTACGGAACCGTTCTTGACCCGCAGTATCCCAAATTTGCAATTTGATACGTTTGCCGTCCAACTCGATCGTCCGGATTTTAAAGTCGATTCCAATCGTAGTAATAAAAGACGGCGTAAAAGAGTCGTCGGAGAAACGGAGCAACAGACAGCTTTTGCCAACACCTGCGAATGTTGAAAGAAAAACGTCATGTTAACAACGTCCCAATGGTTTGACGGTTATGGATATAATACACACGGAACTAACTATAGAAAAATTGTCTGCTGAATATCGATAGCCTTTGACAATTGTGCATGTTAAACACAGGCTTTAGGATCTTTGGCAAAGCCGCTGTAAGCGCAGCACTGTTATATAATCAGTAGCATACCTGAATCGCCAATCAACAATAGCTTTATGAGATAATCATAAGCGGCACTCTTGCTTGTCGCCATTTCGATAGTATTTATAGCGTAACAGTGATTAAGCTATTGGTTTATATATCTTGTCTATGCGTCTAACGATGATGACTCTTTTGTAGGAGAGAATCGACTCGGGTAAATTAAGCAGTTTCAAACAGCCCATCTTGTGTCCATTTGTAGCAAACGCTAATACTTACTATTAATTAAGTAAGAATGTCAACTATTACACTACGCTGGTTGAAGATTGGAAACCCAGGAATTGTCGCTTATTAGAGAAGGAAGCAGTGTCAGGAGAAGGGGGGGGAGGTTTTGTGTTAGTTGGTGTTGGGTTGGTTTGCATTCTTCTTGGGATCACACAGTGGGCGGAATTACGTCATGTGAGTAATAATAATGATAGTAGAAAGAATATATATCCGCCACAATAGGTGTATAATGTTGTCGATTATGAAGGGAGGGGGGGGGGGTGGTGAGAACGTTTCACGGTGTGCTAACTGAGGATAACGTTCGAGTGTCACGATAAACGGCATACTCGTAATAGACCATTCGCAGAACGTTAATGTTGCTGTGCCAGAACAATACAGTATAATAATCGCGCTAAACAAACTGAATTATCGTGCGATTTATTTCGAGACGGCATAGTTCGACTAAGGCTGGCGCTGTATTTCTGAAAGTTGATCTTAAAAATATCGCAACTTGTTACTCTTCTTGTTCTAATTACGTAATAACTTTGGGTGGTACACGAAAATAAGCTCACGATAATAACGTTTGCACAGTACAGCGATTGAAAGTTTTTAAGGCAACCGTCAATGACGAGTCTCCGGAAGACATTAAACGCAATTTAGCTTGAGGCGTATTCTGTGAGAGAACGAATATGCAATGCATTTGCGATGGTTTGGAAGACAAACGTTAATACGAAATAACTTGCACAAACGCAATTTTTTAAAATACGCGTCTCATCTTTAATCGAATGCGCACGCTCTATCCTTACGCGACGCTCGATACATTAAGTATGTATTGCAAGTTAGTTGTCTAAAAATGTTATACTCATGTTGTGCTGTCAATGCCTATATAAAAAAAGCAAGGTCATCGAAAGTTTCTATGAAACATAATTTAATATGTGATGTGCTATATTACTGTAATTATGTCAAAAATGATAAAGCAATCCTGATGTTTAAACTAGCGATGCAGTATCGGCTTTAAGGATTATTTCTCAGTTTTGTATGAACAATACTATTTATCCGTTTTACGCCAATTCTAAAGTAATGTCGGGTGTTTTTTTTAAAAAAATTATTGTTGGGTCCATGGCTATCGATTTTCGTTTCTGGTTGCTCCAACATCAAGAACATCGCCACAGCAAGTTAAAACTAAAACATGCGTTATTGACGTAATTATTCTCGCATGTCAAAACACATTAATATTAATTGTTTTACCACTATTTACAAGTAACGGTAATCTGTTTTGCCTGATATGTGACAAACTAAAGTTTTCTATTAGAAAAGGCTTTACATTGCGAGTCTTTCTATCGGCCGGCCAGTAATTTTATCCAAATACAGCCTCCGATTGCGGAATGGGGACATAATTATAAAAAGCATACACTTTCAACACTTATTGCTGATTATAAAATTATTTTAAAGACGTATTAATACTTAAAGTGACGACAACGTTTACTTTGAGTGAATTCTATCAAACATCAAAAAGTTACGCAGTCACCGATAAACTGATATTAAGGTACCAGAGAAACGTCCAAAAATCAGAGTCAACCTTTGTGAGTATCAATCACGACGATTTGTATTCGGCTACCCTATTGGAAACCATTTCAATCTAATCGTAGAGGGAAATGGAATATTTGTAAGACTGATCGTATCGTCTTACTATACCAATTGAATCCCAGCATGCGAATAACATTTTTATTGTGACTTTACAATACATAAGTCTATAAATCCGATTATCTAATTTACGAAAGTTTAATAGAAATATATCCGATAATTAAAAGCCCAAGTGATTACCGTTTCAACGTTCGTGAAAACAAATTTACAAGCTTTACAAGCGGAAAATAACGCAATCCATTAAAATTACGCAGTCCTGTTAAAAATCCAACTTCCGGTTGTTTCAAGAGATGATCAGATGCAGAGAATGATGAGTGCAACGATGCCAAGCTAAAAAAAACCAGTTACATATTAAAACAAAACTCCCGATACGTGTCAATTTACTTGCGCCAACATTATCCCCGCCTCCCTCACCAACCTCGAATACTCTCGCGTAATTGATTTTCCATTCAACTTCCTTGCAGTTCTAGCATTGGTCTTTGTCCGTTGTCCCCTAACTGGATAACCCATCACGTGTCTCTTACCAACGTATGTCCCGATCTGTCTATGATGTAGAATATTGGCCGTAACCTTTCTTCTCAATTCTGATTCTAATGTCATTCGAGCCAATATGAGGGCTAGATCGTTGAGTTGTGGTTCGGTGAGTTCGTTCAGACGACATGTCTTGTGAACAGATATTTGGCTGCAGATTTTCTCAGCAGTTTTCAGACCAATTCCGTAGAAATACGTTAAAGCTATCTGTTGAGGGGTAAGGCACGAATTAGCGTAGCGTGAGGAGAGTGAGAAGGAAAAATAAGTCTTGATTTAGTAAATACTTTGACATATTTATTATCAGGTAATGTGACACCAAGTAGTTTCATAGCTTGCTGTCTTGTTGCGCACCAAAAGTTAAAGCGTACATCCCAACAAGCTATAAAATTTTCCAAGTCACATGATTTAGATGTTGGGTGACGATCGCATAAACATCATATTAATAACCTAATTGCTAGAACAAAAGTCATCTTCTATCTGAAAGAACAGTATCCTATCCTCGCGGGACGAATATGCCGGGTTTGCCTTTCTTGTACGCTACCTTCTTACCATTGCTGTTACACATTTTTTATCATTGCAATTACATAAACTTTTTTACGTTTGAAAATTTTTTTCCTGCGTATTGATTGATATAATTCTTCTTATACAAACAGTATGAGCAACTCCATAATAAAACGGACGAAACAGTCAAACGGGCCCAAACTTTATGTGAAACCGAGAATGTCACAGAAAACTGAAGCAATCACTCTGGTGTTAAGTTTATTGTCTCGGGTTCATCTTGTAGATTGTGACCTCGTTTTCAATGGAAAAAATATAATTCTAAGGCCAACGAAATGTAAACGTGACTTGAACTTTCTGATAAATCTGCCTATCGCACATGTTAATCAATTCCAATAACCAGGAAAAGATGAAATGCATATTAATATTGACCAATACACACGTTTACATCACGCGGATTAAAATAAATCACGTGACAGAGATGTTGGTTGATATTAGTATACACTAAATTTATTTTGAGCCCCACACAAAAACAAAACATTGTTCCGACGCGCATGTCAAATGTTTTTTCGTTCTTGTTGTTGACAATTTACTCCAGAAGCATTAATAGGGATGACAAGTCGTCATATAAATGCTCGCGTTAAGAAAAGGCCAATAATGGAAGAAGCGACTACAGGTACTGTAAAATTTATGTTTTGAGTATATACATTTGGGATTACTAAGACGTTCTGTTTGACCGTCGCCGGTTTTTCTTTTGCTGTGACTACTTACTCTTATGACAAGGAGTGTCGACAGCATTACGAACATGTCATCCGTTCTACGACAGTGAGAATCCATTTCTCAGTGCTGACTCGCCATTACGATTACGAAAGAGTTCTGAGTATGAGAAAAAGTCCAAAGATAAACTTAGTGACAACGAGTCTGATGGTGATGACGAATGGGTCGATGAGGACGATGCTGCTAACAAAGGTATAGGCAGATGCTCTTGTATAAATAGTTAACTTTGGTAATACAAATTCTAAACCAATTTATAACAGAAAACACGACTCCACGCGCACGAAGAATAGCAACCCCGACAGTATTACCATCTCCCTATATTCAAAATGATACAACGACGCCACCATTACCATTCGGTGTGCCTTTAAAGGGTATTAACACGCCCGTGCAGAATGTTGATACGCCTGTAAAAGTTACTAGCGTGCCTGTACAGGACATTAATACTCCCGTACAAGGCAGTAATGAGACACCTACACAGGATATGACTGCATCCGCCCAGAACATGAGCACACCTACACGGAAGCGTACACAGTATGTGACTACACCTGTGCAGGATATGAAGACGCCTGTACAAAGAATTAGCACGCCTGTACGTGGTATTAATACACCTTTACAAGGTATCGCTCGTGCGCAGAACTTCTACTTCTCCCTCATATACAGTTTTACCCACGCATATATTTATTTTTTTGCTTTGTTCCGCTTCAGTTGTACGTCAAGGCATCTCAATTACGCCGTCTCGCTCATCAACTTCCTCACCAAGAAGAAAACAGATGCGTTCTACTTCGAGACGAGTACGAGTAAGAAGAGTGCAGCGCGTTAATCCAGCGGTTTATGACATGAGCGAGTCGTGGTATATTAAAGTTGGATCGAGATTGTCGATTTATGCAAAGGACGTTGTATGCATGTTAAAGCATACATGCAATGTCGTGTGGATGAGGTGAGTTGATAATCAGTGACACATTATAAAAAGTAATCGCGTAGTGGGAGACGCAGATACTATGGATAAAAGTTGCCCGCGTGTTATTCTTTTCGCGTAATTTTGATCGTTCTCATTGTAGGATGACATGGAAATCGTTTTTGTTTGTTGTGTCGCTCATAATATTATATGACGCTATGTATAAAGTGTGGGATTATGATGAGAGAAGTATGTTATTAGCATCACGCGCCTGTTTATTAGTACTTTTAAGAAAAATTTAGAACATCTTGACTAAAGAAAATGACTACAATTTTGTAGATTTTCAACGAGAAGTGAGCATATGCCAAAGAGAGTTGGATGCACTACATTGTGACAGAGCATCAATGTTACCACGTGTTGAGAAAATCTGTCAGGAAGCCAGAAAATATCCTTTAATATGCTTTATTTGTAATACAAACACGGCTTATTCCTTGACCGTTTGTTCACATGTGTAGAATCAAAAAAACAGTTGTCCATTCTGGAAACCTTTGGTGTGGCCATGGTACACTTCATAAAACTGGCACATGATGTGCAACCCGGAGAATCCATGACGTTTAAGGTATAATATTTTTTTTGTCTTGGACATCTGTATGCATGTTGTTAATAACAAGTTTAACATTAATCCGTCTCACTTTCATTCTTAAAGGTCATTGGTGCCTATGTATTCATAATCTGCTTTCTGATGTTCCTAATTGTAAAGTACATATTTGGACCAGCTTATTCTCAGCCACAACCACTGCCACGACCACAACCGCAATATCTCTTCCTATCTGCAAACCCACCATCAATGTCTCCTCAGTTCAGTACAATGCCCGTGCCGGTATCTCCTCATTTCAGCTCCATAGAATATCCACCTCCTACAAACTTTTTCAATATCGTTACAGGTGAAGGATAGAAGTAAGACGTAATGTTGTACCATACGGGATTTGTTTAAATAAAAACACCAGACATAAATTTGGTTTGTTCAGTGAATGTAATTTCCATCTAACTCAACCTTTAATGATCGGTTTTTGTATATAAAAATCGCGTTTTGAGGAAATTACTATGGGACAAGCGTTGTAGCAGCACAGATTTTATAAGCGTAGCTTGTTTCGCTCAAAAGTTATCGAGTTGAAGTTTTACTATTGAAAGTCACATGATAATAAAGTGTGCATTATGGCTGAGTGTACTTTTGTTGGCCCCAAAATTTGTTTCACAAAAATATAAATACCTGAAGCTTCCATACCCATTGTTTCGATCCACTGAAAACATTTGCAACAGTTCTGATCTGCCATAATCGTGCCAATTGTGATTGTCGTATGTCAGATCGGATTTATGTCAATTCCGAAGTGATATATGTCAGATCAGAATTTTATGTCGCTTCCAAACTGACATGTGTCAGATGAGA